CAGCGCAACAGTGTTTCGTGAGATATCGCGAAGCCTGTTACGCGAGACGTGGTCTGGCGTACATCTACCTAGTAGGGTATTCTAATGAAGCCCGAAGCGGAAGTAAGAACAACAACAAGCGTCCCGCTCTTCCGCCAAACGTAGTTGCTAGTCCGCTTCGCTCCGCCGGCAACTACGTTCGGCAGGGGCCGGGCCTGCTTGGCCTGCCGGCGGCGCTGGTCGGTCCTGCGGCCCGACCATTTCTGTCACGCGAATTGCTGAAAAACATGATCGAATGATGTAGCGGCCCGCTTAAACCCGACGTCTTTGAGTTTGCCCCGTAGACACGAGAAAGGGATGTAACGGCGATGCACCGCGACAGCGACTACAACCCACCCTTCTGCTTAGAAAACGTTTTTAGGGGGTGGGGGAAGAGTTTCTTTCCTATTTTGCGGTTTTTGGACCTTTTTCTACAACTTATTGTTCATTATGGCAATTTTTAGCTTATTTTCGTGTAGCCTCATAACTATTACTAAACTATATGAACTAAATTTGTTTAAACTGGTGGCTCGGCTAACCAGAAAGATGGAGAGTGGGTGAGGGTAAGCTCTTTGACTTGAAATATCTCACCATAAGTAGGGCGCCAGGTACCAAAGTACCGTCAAAGGAATGAAGGCTACTTGAGATCTAACACCAGGTAAACAGTTAAAATTAAGCAAACTTTAATAGCTTCACAGTCCAATAGAACGCAATCAATGACCTTACAAAAGCTCAATACGGTGGATCAACTCAGATACCAAAAGCCAAACTCATACAAAATAAAACAGCGCAATCAACTCAAAGCAAACGGAAACTCAACTCACTCAATTACAAACTAATAAAATCTAACACGGGCTGAACCCTAAAATAGCTCAAATAAGAACCAAATCTCAACCGAGTCCCAGACTCAAATCTCTCAAATCTCAACATATAGTTCAAATAAGAACCTCAAATAGACAGAATGGTTTTGCCGATTGCAAACATTTCAGAACGTCAAAACTAATCTTACTAGCTATCTCCAGGCAGGAGAGAATACTTCATAGAAGCAATAAGGACATGTAGTCCGAATGGAAGACCCGAGGATAAAGCAAATGATTGACAAGTTCTTAATAACAATGTAGAACACTCGAGCAGAGAGACAGAGGTTGTAGATTATTAAAAATAGCCCAACCAGGCCGCCGAAGCGCGCACTGGGGACAAATAGCAAAACAACTACATCTTGACTGACCTCTGACACAAGCGGAACAAGATCTTTATGGACCTGACGGGAGGCGGACGGATGGGAAACTACAAGGCCTGAAAGCCGGGAGTGTGAGAAACCCACCGGTCAGATAGAGAGCGGAAGATTTGAAATGCGAAAACAGAAACGGATCCAAAGTGATCGTTACATTCGTCCAAAATGACCCTCTAGCGCCTAAACGGTTAGAGATGGAGCAAAACGGACGAAATTTTCGGGTACTAGTATAGAAGAGTGACTCAGAGCCAATGAGTCCTCTTGTACCATTGGAAAGGGCTTTTTGAGTGTAATCCGGCACACTTTCAATTTATTGGCTACTTGGCTACTTTTCGGGACGTTCAACGCAAGATTTATAGTTAAATAGAAGGGAAAATTCATTGGAGGACGGGCAGCCACCAACTTCCTACATTCTGTTGGTACCATTGTTAACCCGCGCCTGCGCCCCTACTGCCCATTGTTGTTGGCAACCGCGCTTGTCCGCCCGAGTGCCTCGCCGGTTCGTAGCCTCGCAGGAGACGGCACTCGGTCCCCTTTCTTGGCAGGACCACGCCGAGCAGAAGGCATTTTTCGAGAAGCGTGGGAACTGTGATCTAAGCAACGGTAGAGAAAGAAAGCCTGATATTTTGAATCAGCCTTAGTCGAGGGGTGTGGAACTGGTCAAAAAGGTGTACACATGATTGTGTATAGACAATCATTGTTTCTGATTGTTTGTGATTGTTTCTGATTGTGTCCCTGATTGTTTCACATTGTTGGGTGAATATTGGGACGTAATTTTAAAAATTGTGTCATGATTGTGTCCGATTGTGTGTGATTGCTTCCGGTTGTGTTTGTGATTGTGTCGATTGTGTGTGATTGTTTTACATTGTGTTTAATTGTGTGATTGTTTCTGATTGTGTATGATTGCTCCTGCTGCGCTGCTGTGGTAAAGTACTGGCCTGACCGAGCTGAGCCGGGATGGCCGACGACGGGAGAGGTGGACGCCCCGGTACGCAGGTAGGCGCGTTAGGCACGTTAGTTGACTCTCATCCAACCGCCGCGCTGCGGCCCCCGGCCGGGGCACTAGAATACGGTACGGCTCTTGCTTCAGCCGCTACCCCCGGGAAAGGCCTTCCACTCATAGACTGACGAGGACGAGATCGTGGGCTGGAGCCGGAGAGTGTGCAGTGCAGAAGTGACTTCAGGTACCCCGGGCGTGTCCAGGGTTCTCTGGGAACTCGGGTGTGAGACAGTCTAACACCAAATGGTGTTAGGCAAAATACCTCACACCAAACGGTGTGAGGCAAACATACCTCACACCAAATGGTGTGAGACTCCTTGTGCCTCACACCAAATGGTGTGAGACTCGTTGTGCCTCACACCAAATGGTGTGAGAAAGTATCACTCCATTTGGTGTGAGGCACAACGAGTAACACACCATTTGGTGTGAGGTTTGTTTGCCTCACACCGTTTCGTGTGAGGTATTTTTCCTCACACCATTTGGTGTTAGACTGTCTCACACCTGAGTTTCCAGAGTTGCCAGATGCCTAGTGAGTCAAATCGCCACGAGAGCGCGCTCAAGTCGCCAAAAGTCGCCAGCGGCCCGAGTCGCCAGGAATCGCCACGGCGGCGCCAGTGTCGCCAAAAATCGCCCGCCACGAATTCAAATCGCCAAAAATCGCCATCCGCTTATCGAAATCGACGAAAATCGCACTTTTTGCTGATACAAAGAAATAATTTGCAGTATTGACCATGCTTTGCTTTTTTTATTCGTCTTCAACTTCCCAGTCGCATGGCAGGATATTGAGGCCGCCGTCGTCCTCGTCGTCGCTCAGGTTCACCTCCTGGACGCCGGCCGCTGCCCTGTCCCCGTCATACATGTCACTCGTGAAGAGGCGGTACATTTCTGCTCATGGCTTAAAATTATTGGCACAGCACCCCCCAGCATGACTCTCATTCTTATTCGCATAATCGCGACAAGTAATTCAGCCCCCATCATGTTTCGCGACTTGATCTTGATTGCGTTCATGAATGAAAAAGCGCGTTCAACTACTGCGTTAAATCAAGTTTATCCCATTCGCTCTTGAGGGTGTCCATGTCCGTTCCGGGCGCTG